TATATATGTGTGTGTGTGTGTGTGTGTGTGTGTGTGTGTGTGTGTGTATTAATGTCCTTACTTTGCTAGCAAGTTAGCAAGTTTTCTTTATATTACAGATTTTTAACCAAATAATATGAGGAGAGTATCAACAAATATATTTAGTTGACAAAGTACTTGTGAAATGTGAAAAATTGAGATTACCAAATTTAATATTTATTAGAAAATGCAAAATTAGGCACCTCATATTCTGCACTGAAATGTAAACAATATCTTAATCCTAATTCAGAAGTTCTTGTTTGGTTCCAAGTCCAGCAGTCTGATTGTTCTTCCTGCTTTAAACTCTCCTTCAGGATGTACTTGATTTTTGTCTGCTTCTTGTAACTCTCAGTAGAAGTTATTAATTTTGGGAGAGTGAATAACTCAATGCTGGAGTAAAGGCCCACCATTGTTCATCTCAGGGGAGTATCTTCTCATTGCTAATGCTATAAGTTCAAATAATTTAAGCATATTTAATATTTTAATAGCTTAGGACGTTCACTACATACTTAAAATAGTGAACCTCATTATCAATGAGGCAAATGCTTCTAACTGCTGTAGTGTTTTATGAGATAAAATAGATGCCTCAATTTCTGCAAGACTTAGAGCTCCCATGTTGCCACCTTAACATCCAAATCTTTCCCAAATGAAGAGAGGGAATGAGAGACAGAAGAAACTGAAAAAGTCAACCTTTGCCAGTTCAGTGATGTCATGACCTCGAACATGGCTTCTACAAAGGTGCTTTTTCAAGAAGCATCTGGACTTTCTGGTTTTTCTTTGAAGATGTTTTGCTTCTTGGATGAGACGCAAAACATATTAAAAGAAAAATCAGAAAGTCCAGTTGCCTCTAACAAACATGACTGAGAATCTCCATAGATATATGGCTTTTACAAGATGTAAGAAGGACATTGGCCTCTTTATTGAAAAAGTACTATAGCCCTGCTCTACAGGATGCCAGGAACTACATGCTTCTGTAGAATACTGTCTGTTAGTACACTTAGCCTACTGCCATCTTAATGTCCCCATAAACTGAGCGTAATGGAATGATCAGGCTAACATCTGGAGGGGATTGCATTGAAGCCAACTGAAGAATTCCAAGAAAAGGCAAAAGCAGGATAGTAAAAAAAAAAAAGTACCTATGCTAGTCATGGACCAGTCATGTTTTATAATAAGGTATATGCTAATCAAGCAACTCTGCCTTCATGCAACTGATTGGGTGTAGTTATGTGCACTAACTAAGCTATCTGCAAAAGCAGCCACTAACATGCTGCTTATTTGTATATGGGAATTTTGCAAGTTCTTATAGGTAAAAACCCTCTCTCTGATGATAATTTTCTTAAAGGGAATCTTGATTTCCTCTATCCCATTATATTAATTGGAACCACCCTTAGATACTTACCTTCAAAGGGCCCCAAGCTTTTTTAGCATGACAGAAAGTTCTCCACTATCGTTTAGAGCATCAAGATCTGTAAAACCACCAATACATGTTTCCCCAATAAAAATTCGAGGAACCTAGAAGGCAAACAAAATGTATTATTCAGCAGACAAAATCTCTTTAGACTTCTGTCTTGGCATAAAACAAACTTTGTTAGAGTAACAAATGACAAGGTAAGGAAAAGGAACAGGCTAGAAGCTACATCATTAGCTATGAGTAAATGTCATGCCAATAAGACAAATCCTGGAGATTTCATTGTTATTTAAATATGTTAGGGCTGTCCACTGCAAGGACACTCCATGGTTTCGGAAGGCATTGATTTTGGGACTCTGCTCTAGTTAACTGGTGTCAGTTCTTTTTTTACTTTTATGGCATTCTATTTTGTAACATAAATTGTTGATTTTAAATTAACTTGTGTTCCTATAAATATATGGGGTCCGCCACAATAAATGCAAAACCGAATAAAGTTCAGAATTACCATAATTTGCCAAAGATGCTTTCATTTTGCAAGGCTTGCACAGGAGGATGGTGGATCCATTTTCATTCACACTGCTTCTATGCCTTTTAGATGTAGTAATTTATTAAGTGAAACTAGCTTCTTTCACCCTACAGTGCCTCCTTCTTGAGACAAGCAAAGGGAAGAGATACTTCAACCATTAAGTGAGAGAGTAAAAAAGGTATCAAGCTGATTTCACATTAGTTACTTGGGACTATTCTCTGGAGGGGCCGAAATGCCCCAGGACTGTTTGTCATATATAGTGTTTTGAAGGCTGAGAAATCTAGAATAGAATAGAATAGAATAGAATAGAATAGAATAGAATAGAATAGAATAGAATAGAATAGAATAGAATA